TCAGGTCCGAGGCAAAATGCAATTTTGCTAAACATAAAAAAATTTTCAATTTTGCTAAGCAATATTAAATGGTCTCTTAATTTTTTAAAAATAATGCTATTAATATTTTTATTTTCTATTTTTGTTTTATTTTTAATAATATGTATATAATTTTTAGTATAATATCATGTTCTACACGTGGAGGTGTTTGATATTTTTAATAATAGACGTGTCATGTGTTCATGTTCAGTACATGTGAAACAAATTTTAAAGATTTTAGATATTTTTTAATGGATTTAGATTGTTATTTGAACGACTAAAGTGCCTGGTGTAGTACATTAGGCTTGGCCTTTTTTGAGAGACTTACATACACCATTGAAAACTTCGATATTTACATGTCTAACACCTAAACTTTGGTATTTTTGATACTACCAACTAAACATTATCGAAGCAATAAAAATACCACTCTGTGACATAAGTGTCGTCGTTCATCACCTCATCATCATCCTCGTTCGTCTGAGAAAACCGGAATTCGATATATAGAAGCTGTACCTCTCATTTAACACCACCCTGTTGGAGTGTGGCAAACTTTTATTTTATTTCACTCAAAGGACTTTTATATGCACATAAAGCACAAAAAATTACCCCCAAGGAGATTTTTCAGTATTTTAAGCGGCTGTTTTTTTTTCTTTCCCACAAATATACACATAAGCACAGATTGGGACCATTAAAGGAAATTATAGTCATTGAGTTTATAATTTGTGATAAAGATAGAGAGTTCAGGAGCTGTTTGGATAGAATTCTTCATTTCTATTTCAAAAGTAACCTTAGAAGTAGAGTTGGACATCTTCATTATATAATTTGTCATAAACCCTATTGCACGTTTAGGGCTAAATAAGAGTGTTGGTTTTGCTTGTGGCAGAAGTTGTCCAATTGCAATCATAAGAAGCAAATGAGGGTCTGCAGGCGGGTTGGACTGATTCTAATGGCTGCAGGGAGGATTCTCGTTGCTGGATGATTGTTGGAGAGGCTCCGGAGGCTGTAGGAGCGAGTAGAGGAAGGATAACTCCGCAAGGAACAGCCGTTTCCTTGAATCAGGGATCGAAATTTTCTTTGATTGTTGCAATCTGATAGTTGCCTGTCCAACTTGCTATTCTCGGTATTTAGCATGAATGTCGGTCACGAAGACAAGGGTTTTGGGTGAAAGTGATCTCTGAATGCAACGATTTGGTCGTTTCCTTCCTAGCTAGCTGCTCTCACGACTATATTGAGAACGTCGGGCATGAAGACTAGGGTTTAGAACGAACCTGTGATGTTTAGAAGCAAAAACTTCAAACCACGGACTATGATGGGATTCGGTCGCAAAACTGGTCTCTATTACCATGTTGGAAAAAAAAAAACTTTCGGAGGAAAACTACTTGCTTTTATAATTCATGCATAAGGTACATATATAAGGAAACCGGTCCTTCCTAATTTACAATTTTATGAAATATATCTAATCTAAATGTTGAAAAAAATAATTCTGAGATAAGCATTAAAAAAAACATAAATATGAAGAGAATAAAACTAATCAAGGTGTTTTCAAAGTTGTCTCCAATTAAATCTTCCAAATACTTTAGGTGGCCAGCCGGACCACCTTGGAAAGGAGGTCAGGACCTTCATCAATTTCCACATATATATACATGTAAAACATAGCAGGATTTGCACTGACCATGATTTTACATATATATACAAGTAAATCTTGTTGCGCATCACAGTTCATTCAAAAAATATATTTAGTTTATGCAGCAATAAACTCACCAAAATTTGTTACATGTCATATGGTATTTCAATATCAACATTATTTTTTTTTAATGTAAGGCATGGCTGGCAATACAGATGCAACCTATAATAAGTATCAAGAAAAACACTTCTAACAACCCTAATAAATAAATAAATAATCTAAATTGTTGTATATTACAGAATTTCAATGCTCAATTGATATCCAAAGAATTAGTACTAGATAACTGATCGTTTGGGAAACCCATGAATAAAAATTTTACTATCACAACACATAATCATGCTTGAATTTTGCTAATATACATAAAAATCAAGAACTAATAACTAATCTTTCAGTCAGACCAGAAAAACATAATGTGCACATAAGATTGTTTATTGCAGTACCAATGTAAAATTATCGATGAAACATTATATACCTTAAATTAGGTGGCAGGAGTCTTTACAAAAGAGATTGAAAAAAATCTCTCCCTTGCGACAATGTTATGCTCTTCCTACAGCTACATTCATTCACTAGCTATTTATTGAAAAAGGCAAGTATTAGAAACTAGATTGAAGGAGGCTAGCTATTTAAGATATGCATCTTGAAAAAGAGAGAAGGATAGCAATAAATGGTGGTGTCGATCAAGTTCCAATGGCTTGGGCCGATGCACGAAGTAGAGGAACCCTATCTAGAAGCAAAACCAAAGAGGTAAAGAGAAGAAAGGGACTGAGAAATTTAAAATGACTGAGAAGAAGGCAAATGGTAGGGATCAAGCATCAAAGAGAAACCTTAAGTGAGTGCAAAATAGAACCCTCTTAGATAGAATTGTCCAAAATGCAATAGGAATAAAGTAAGAAATAATGTCTTATTACATGGAACATGTTTAAAGAATGTCTTATTACCTTGGACGTATATTTGGCAGTTAATAATTATATGGCATCAAAAAGGAAGGGGATGATAGGGAAGAAAGGACGACACGACGATGGTGAGCCTTGTGACATTGACTCAGATGTCAAAATTGATGCAGCTTCACATGATAGCATGTGTGTGTGTGTGTGTGTGTGTGTGTGTGTGTGTGAGAGAGAGAGAGAGAGAGAGAGAGAGATTTGGGTATTTAGTGGTTGATACGGTGTAAATGAGTTGAATTGAGCTTTGGTTCACCCTCAACTTAAGCTTGAGCTTCACTATCTAATGGAGTTCAAGCTTAATTTTAGAAGTTCTAGTTATATCGACAATCTGTTTGTTTATTATGAAAAAGGATAAGATATTTAAATTTAAGAAGTTATAATAAAATATTAAAAAGAATGAGAAGTTAGAAAAAATGTTTAGAAGTTTTCAATAATTTTATACTTAAATCCTTTAATTAAATCTATTTTTAAATATATTTAATACTATATTTTTTTAAAATGAGCCATCTCATGACTTGATCAGTTGAGTTAAAGTTGGCTTAAAGCTTGATTATTATAGCCGATCAACTTTTTTGGTTATTGGCCATTTATCAAGTAAACCTTGAGCTGGTATGACTCGATTACAACTCTAGCACTTACTGTGGTGAAAGGAAATAATACAGTTGCTTAAACTTGTTGTTAGAGGCTGTGTAATTTGGTGGTTTTGGGTTATCATTTCATCCTTGTATTATAAAAGATTTTCATTGCCTCAGCCATCTTCCCGTAGTTTGGATCCATCTGTCACTCGCCTTTTTACATTTTATTTTTTTTCAATCACAAGATTGTACTTATAGTTATTCATTTTAATTCTTCCAATGCTTTCTTAGGAGGTACATTGCGATGGTGGAAATGTGTCACATGGCTGGGAAAAGGGATAAACTCATCATCCTACTACTTCAGCTCGCTGAATGTCTCTTCAACATCCTTCTTATTCATTTTCAAGATGGGTATGGCATTCTAATCCATTACATAAGCGCTAGCAACCCCTTATATATGTACTGTAGTCATATATCTATTTATTATGTTGGTGGCACCCAATTGTCTAGTAAAATCCCTTGTCATTGTCATTTGTTTCCTTTTTTTAATTAAACACTGTTCCCACTTGTGCAGTAACACTGATTTGGGAGATTTGCCATTTTTTTGTGAAAAGTTACAACCGAATTTAGAAAAACTGGAACTGCTGCGAGAGGTAACTAATTTGTTCTCCTGAGAGCTGGTAAAATTATCATCAATTTCTGTCTATTTTTTATATTCTCTTTTTTGGCAGGATAAAATTGGGCACAAACTGAAGGTTTTTCACCGAACAATCAGCACTCTGAAGGAAATATCAATCAGACATCTTGCTCTGTAAGGCATCCTTATGGTCTTCAGAAGCCTAAGGGGAGGAGTACTCCACATTGAGCCTGGTCTCCCCTTTAACCTTTATTTATTCTCATATTTTGATTTGCTGCGCTTCTAGTTATTTATAAGTTATTTTTTTCTTTATTATTTATTAATAATAGAGACTTGTTTCTAATTCCCAATGTAGAATCAAATTTGGATAGGCAGTTGTACAAGTCTTCTTTTATTGTAGCAAGTGTCACACATTTTAGATGTGGATGCCTATATATGTATTAGTTCTTTGTTACATGTTATATTAATTTAAAGCCTATTCAAATTGTTGTTAGTACATGTTATTATTTGATTTTTGGGTCATCTTATTTTGTCTTAAATTTATTTTGTGTGGTGATTTGATATTTTATTTTATTTTATTTTATTTTCATGAATTAACATAATAACTTTTGGTTTTGATAAGGGGATTAAATTCAACAAATACTTATGTTTATAAAAAATTAAGTTGCCATTACTGCTAACACCACAATCAATTATGATGGAATAATTTATTGCCTATTTTCTTATAAAATATTTTACTAGTTCTTTTGACATATTAAAAAGAATAATTAGCTTGATAATGCAAGATAAAATTTTTTTATAGAGGGAAATAGAAATAGAATTTATTGCCTATTTTCTTATATAAAATATTTGACTAGTTCTTTTGACATATTTGTAAGAATAAAAAGAATAATTAGCTTGATAATACAAGATAAAATTTTTTTATAGAGGGAAATAGAAATAAAGCTTTTTTTAAATGGAAATTAATTAATTTAGAAAAATTAACTCGTAGTTATTATTACTATTATTATTAATATGTTTCAAAGGTGCACAAAAATTGGGAAACTAAATAGGCATCCCAATATCTTGAATTTGGTAAGAGTTGAACTCATCAAAAAATATAGTATGATTAAGCTACATATATGTTTTATATGGTTTAAAGCAAGCAAGTATTAAAATTCTTCATAATTTTCTTCTGTTGCTTCGTAACCTTACCTATAGTGTCAAACCCCTGAGGTCAAGAATAGAACCCAAGAAAGGAGTATTCTGACCGAACGCCGCACGTTTGGGCAGTCAATCACCGGCAGTCACGTAGCTATATTCATCATTGCTTGCTAGATAATGTGATGGTCGGTGGTTGGCCATGTGGATGAAATATTTTTTCCCAAAAAAGGAAATTTTTTTTTACTCAATCAATCTTAAAAAACCCTACAAACTTCTTACTCGGTAATATCATAACCTGAATGATATGCTCAATAAGAAAGATAACAAAGATTTAGATATATTTCTCTCGGTAATATCAAAATTGAGAGAAATTTTAGATCCAACATCATGTCATATTTCAAGTTAACTTTGAGAAATACAGCACGTAGCCATAAAACAACTGCAATATGCATAAACAATTAACAGCACGCATAAACTGGATCTGGATTGAAGGGCTTTTCAGAAGCAATTCCCAATACAATTCTGTAATTTAAATTGCTATTAGAGCTGCAGATGTACAGTAAAAAGATGATGGAGAACATAAAATCAACTTAGAATCATACACAAAACATCCTTTTCTTCAGAAAGAAAAAGTCAAGCACTAACTAAAATATGGCAAAACAAAAATCTGCTAAGCAGATGTTCGATATTGTAATCAGAACGTACTCACCATATATAACATAAACAATGAGAAGACCAACCCTGCGCAGCTACTTAAACCTCGTTATCGTCATCATACTCTATAGTCAGCCAGATCATTTTAATGGCTGGAAAGATATAGTTTCCTAATCAAGCGAAAGGCTTTTCTTCATAGTTTCATAAACTAGATAAGTAATACTTGCAGAAGGAACCACTTTGAGCATATTTGGAAGCAATCCTTTGTAGAGTCCTGAAATCCCTTCATGCTGGAAAGTTCTCCAGAATACATCAGACATTCCTCTATAAGGACTACCCGAATCAGTACTTTGCGCTTGCATTCTGTCGAGCGATAAGGGCAGCAGTTATGATGAAAAGGAGAGTAGAGAGAAGAAATAATACAAAATTGCAAAAGTAAATCAAAGTGAAGTATGAATTACCGTGTTCTAATAACCTGCAGGGGATAAACGGATGTTGCACCAAGAGCTCCAGATATTGTTCCACAACCCAATTGTGCTAGAGGTCCCGGCTCTACATCATAATTAAACACTTCAAAATATGTTCAAGCATATATCTTGGAAAAAGTCCACCAAGGAGCTGCACAATTTGTATTGCACAGCACCATCAAATAAACAGGCGAGGGAATGAAAGAAAAAAAGTAAATTAACTTGAGGAGAAACAAGGGAAGTTTACCACTGTCTTTAAGAATATATGTTCTGGAAATATCTTTTAGTGTCTCATATGCTGCAAGATCCAATCCAGCATAAGGGATTATACCAATGAGAGATGGAACAAGACCTCTGTAGAAGGCCAGAGGTCCTTCATGCACCCATATATTTCTAGTCAGAGTACTCAGCTTTGGAACTCTTCCACCATCACAGGCATAAGTCTGTAATCGCGTCTTGATAAGATCCAAAGGATAAATCGCAGTCTGTGCTACCGCACCTGCTAGGCCGCCGGCTATTAGCCGCCCTGAAGCACCAATATCTCTCTTTTCTTCGCCATGGACAGCTACAATGAGGTCTTTCAGTGTCTCATAGGCATAGAATTTGATAGCACTCTCTGGAGCAACCTTCATCACATTTAACCCATTACCTCTAAAAAAACCCAAAAACCGTCCTTCTCTCCAAAGATCCTTTATTGCTGGAATAATACGGGAACTTTTTGTCTGGACTTGCATTACTACTTTGAGACGGTCAAGAGGAGCAGTGGATGTACGAGAAGTCGCTCCAGCCACCCCACCAGCAATCAAATACTTGCTTGCATTTACATGCTTGCTGATGCCTTCTGGAATAACAGCCTGTTCGCCAATATCTACAAGGCAAACTCTTTCC